AAACCTTTTCGGCGAGTTTGAAGACTTTTTTATTTCTATTTCTATCGTCGCGAAAACTAAGCTTTTTGACTTAACTATCGGCAGTAGATCGGTAACGACCCGTAGCTGTATTTAAACGGTAGTTGCAATAGATCGGTAACGACCCGTAGTTGTGGTAAAGCAAGAGTAACTCGATTGATAATTTAAATTCTTTGTTGTTATAATTAGATAAGTGACATTCCTTGGCTAGTCAAAGCACTAAATCGAAGTTCGCCCTTGTTTAAAACTAATATTAAAGTTCCCCCTTCGATTCTGCGGTAGATAAATTGTTGTTGTTTATTATCGTGGGTACCCTTATTTAGATACGAGTATAGGAGAAATACATCGTATAGGAAGTGAAAGCAAAGTACACATATAAATATTTATTGTTACTTTTCAGTTTAGTTCAGCCTTAAGTGAAGCAATCGTTGTAGTAAGGGCAGCAATAAGAGCTAAATTGTGAAAACCCCCCTCTCGGCAGAACACACCCACGCAATTAATTGCTCTCCCAACCCTATTTTGGACGCCGACCGTAACAATATTATCATTTGGTAAACTTAACCAAGCAATACGTGCATTTGATGAGATTTTGGATTATTACCTTCATGATCCTAATGATACTTTATCAAATCTGTAGGTTCAATCTTTTCGATATATCTGTAAATAGCAGAAGCATATACTGTTGAATCAATTTCCAGCAATCAAGACAAATTGCCATATGAGTTTTGTGAATTCTAGGTCTGTAGTAGGATTGACTAGATTAGAATTTCCCAATCCACATATAAACAGTGTACGTGATATACGCTTTTTTTCTTTTCTTTTCAGAGACTAGCTCTTGTAAAGGAACTCTGACCCGAATAGCCCATTGTTGTGGAGTTTTATTGGGTCGAATAACAGATAAAGTATCATATTGTCTTTCAATCTCAAAGAGTTATCGAAGAATCGTTGATAATCATTAGTGCCAAAATATTTGTAGAGACAGTATATTAATATGACTTCATATATTTATATCATATCCCGGTCTATTATTAATGGGTTTCTGTAATTTACCGTATAGCACTGGTTCTAGTAACCAGTGCTATACGGTAGTTTTTTTATCAAGAATAATAGGAATATTAAAACCTGACATACAGTCGAACCCCGTTATACCGAAAGGCACGGGGAAGTCATATATGATTTGTTATAACGAGGAATTCGGTAAAACAAACACTCTCTTTGTAACGAAGTCTAGCCTAAAATCAAGTAATATTCGGTATATCGAAGCTTTCGTAAGCAATATTTATTAGTTGCAAAATATACAGGGAGACAAATCTATTCTAGATTGCTTTTTGCTTGTAACATTATGTAATTCCACCTTCCTTTTCAATGAACGAAAGACTTTTGAGCTCATTCTAAATTAAATTCTTTCTTTTCTATCATGGCTTGACAATTACTTATTACTTTTTGAACTAGTTTTAAAGCGGTTATGGTATCTTTATTCAAGACAGTGGAAGACATGGCGACCATATCGTTGTTTATGATAATGAATCGTTTGTATCACGTGATAGTACAATACACAAAAATCCTGCAACCGAACTTCGGTAACGGAATAACGAGGTTTACTATTAAAATTCGTAATAAAGATCAAATTTAAATATTAAAAAAAGGGAAAGTAACACTTGCTTCGGTATAACAAAAATTCGTTATAACGCATTTCGTTATAACGGGGTCCGATCTGGCAAAGAGATGTATTGCAATCTCAACAATATAGTGTTCTTTTATTAACGCGAGATTTCTTCTTGAGACGGCGACTAGCCCTTATGGATCCACTTCATCCATGGCCTTAAGTTGGGCCATTAAAAAGATATTTTGTTCTGCTTTGGAAAGAGCTTGAAAAGCTTCGCGCATCTCAGCGAATGCTTCCATGGGGACTTTGGAAGAACAATTACAACTACAACCTACTTTCAAGTAATCAATTGCTTTTTCGTATTCAGTTACCATAAACATGTAATAATTTTATATGTGCAGTTTGTTTAGTTTGTAAAATTTCTTCTATATAGTGTATTAAAAACATTGTCTCTAGGACAATTTTTGCAGAAGCGGAAGGTGTAACTGAATAATCAGAAGGAATTTGGGAGCATAGGATGACGCGTGTTTTGTGGCTCAAGGGTATCACGTGGTTTGCTCGCCACGATGCGCACATTTGAAACCTAACGCGCTCGCTGAATACGTATTTACACTGCTTTCACCTCGGCGTTTTCATTGTTTTTGGCACAAACCTTCACTTTGTCCAACGGTTCTTCTAACCAGAAGAGCTACGCTGCAATTTTGAAAGATGAATTTAAGATGAGAATTTTTTTTCTCTAACTAGGGAGCACTGGCTTGCAGCTAGCCACGGGACTCCGTCTCCGCTGCAATCCAACCCTGTCTCGGTTGGACATCGTCACTGTAGCTAGCCACGGTACTCCGTCTACTTAGTGGTTAAGGACTCCGTCTCCGCTGCAGTCCGACGGTGGACTTCGTGTTCTATAATGATGTTTTTGTGCTTTGATATTGCTTTGATATAACGGAAAGATTGCCGTATTTCTGCCTTTTGGGAGCCAATATTACACACAAATAAACTTAGAGCCATTGAAAGGAAGACCGCCGCCGTTAAGATTAGGACGACCCAGGTAAATATTATTTACTGATTTTAATGTGTTAACATATCGTTGTCAAATCATTGTATGCTTGATTTTTTCTCCACCCACCTTTCTATCGCTAACCGGATGCTCAAAGGTGATGAAGGAGAGTTCCAGAAAGCTCAGGCAAATGTGATATAGCTCTGCAGCATCGCCTTCATTGTCCCCATCACAAGAAATGTCTGAACCTATACTAAAGAATGAGGTATATACATTCTTATTTCTATTGTGTGATTTTCACACATGCATAATTCTAATGTTTTTGATTTCAGATGCAAGGAAATGCCTATATTATTGACAGATTTCTTATGACCCCTCCTCCCTGTTTTCATTGACTAACAATTCGACCTGCTGTATTGGTTAAAGAAGTGTTAAGGGGTGTTAGTAGTGCAATAGAATTTCTATTTCTGGTAAATCCTCCCGAGGATTTTGCTTCTGATGTTAAAATGATATTAGAATTGCGTAAAGTGCAGAGTCAATTGTGGGCTTATTATGTGTCAAAGAAGAAACAATCAACAATGGATAGTTTTATTAACTCATAAGTATGTGATGAAATAAAATCCTTATTTCAAAATAAATATGATTATTATTTAATTTGTTATACCAATATAATGAGGTTTCCATAAACAATATCATTATAAAGAGGGCCTCTGATTATACTGATAAACTCGTTATACTGATGCAAATGGCTGGTGCCACTCATATCGGTATAAAGAGGTTTGACTGTACTTGATCACAGGCATATACAATACATAGGATGTATGACAATTTTACTCTTTTAATTACCTATCTCATATAGTCTCTTGTAATAAAAAAAATTCTTAAGCTTAATATATTCATTAAGAATTAGTTAACTATCATCAGACTCCACGTCAATTTATCGTTATCATAACAGTAGTAATATTAACATGTTTAAACTGCCTCAGCGACCTGACTTACATAATATTATCTTGGAACATTCATGTTGAACTATGCAAATTTCAATTTTAGAACTTCACTTGTCACCGAATTATTATTGGAATGTTAAATGTCAATTCTATCTGAACATTTCACATGGTAGGATGGATAGTTACGTCAACAACAAATGATCTGTTAGTGGAACTTCTGATCACAATGATGTGTGTACCTGCTATTTACATGCTGTTCATAGGTTCTGAAGGTCTCATCGTGAAAAGGAACAGGGATCTAAAGTGATGCATGTAGGTAATAAGAGCTCATTGAATGTGTGGGTGATATGTGGTTATAACCAAGAATTTTTTGTCTGCCATCATTATCTATTATTCTTTGGAGGTATGTATTGAGACATTTGTTCTACATTGTCAGTGGGAAATGAGATCGCACTATTGATTGCTTGTATGTATAGATGTTTGGAGAGGGCAATTTGTAAGAGGGTATTAGTACACTATTGTCTAAAAATTTAAGCAGTTTGTGTCTTGATATCTTCATTCTTACCTCGAGAACTTATACCATGTACTCTCTACAAGACATGGTAATGCAATTGTACATTGACGTCTTATGCGACTGGTGAGGACTCTACGTATGAAAATGTAGTGGCATCAGTTACGAAGAAGAATAAAACTTACTGGTATGTATTTAGTTTGCTGGGATGACATGTGCGTTTACAGTTAAAAGTAGAAGGATGATGAGTTCTGGATAATTATTTATGGTGTTATCTTCACGTTGCTGTATCCAAATCTTTTGCAGAGAAATCTATCCAACATTTCTCCTTATTACCAAACGCTTGAGAACAAGCCTGCAAAAAAGTTAATGGCGCTATTGCAGATGCGCATATACAGATTCATTGTATTATTGACAAGATTCTCATTAAGGGGGGGGACGGATGTACTTCCATTAATTTATTGGCAATGAAATTACTGATGCTCCCGTGTTTATTATAGGAATTTAAACATCTCGTTAATTGAACAAAGTAATATTCTATAAGGCATCATTGTGATGCTATTATTGCCATTTTTATTAACATTGTATATGTACTTTTCCTAGGATTCAAACTAGCTGTGTATTGGCTTTGTTGGTACCTGTAATAAATCAAAACTCACAGCATTTACGCATGTAATTATATGAGCATTGGATTCTTGGTTGTGGGCTATTAGTGATCGATGATGAAAATTGATTTCGCGTGTTCGAAGAATCAAGCCAGCTGTTCATGCATATTCAAATTGTACTTAATATTCTACCTCAATTTTTCACACACACATTGGCAACAGTTACCTTTAATATGTGTAGATTATATGAGTGTTGGATTCTTGGGTGTGGGTTATTTAGTGATTGACAATGAAAATTGATTTCGCATGTTCGAAGTAGATGTGCATTTACATGCAGAATTCGATAGGCAACACCAAGTACCAAATGTATTATCTATTCAATACCCAGAAACTCCAGCACAAACACCGCTTTCACCATTTCAACACGCTCTTAGTTTAGGAGGACGATTATTTCATAGAGCTGAAGGATTATTTACAGAAACTGTACAAGAATTAGAAGAAGGCTTAGTTGTACGCACACACGACTCTTTTGGACCTGACGATCCAAACTCTCCATTACAAGCGCTTACAGCAGAAGAACGTAACATCGCGTACCAAGCTGCATTAGGAAGTCCAGCCCCTAGCGAACCTAATGACGAACATAATGCAGGAAGCAAAGGAGAAACAGTAGTACAATATCCTGAATTTGAAATTGACAATCAGTACTTCGAACAAGAAGAGTCCCCATATCCACAAGACTGTTCTTAAAACAAGTCAGGTATATTCCAGACAAGTCACAAGTAAGGTGTATAGAAAACGAAGAAAAGAGAAAAAGGAGGAGAAGGAAGAAAAGTGGAGGGAGATATGGGGAGAAGTAAGAAAAGAAATAGAACAAGAGTTAGCAAGTAATAGGAAATTATCAAAAGAAATGTATTATATAATAGGAGAGATGTTAGAAAAATATCCAAAAGGGAAGAAAGACCTGTCCAGACAAAGATATAGGACAGCGACAAGAATGTATTCAATGTACAGTGTGTAATGAAAATAATTGCCTTCGTATAATTGAAATTAGTTTGCAAATAAACAAAGCAATGCATTGTTTATTGTAAACGCGTCTTTATTTTTAATTAGTTACCATTTCGGTAAACGTGTTTAATTAATATAAATTTTAGAACAACCCATTGTTTACTCTTCCACCCTTTTGCAATCATGGTCAACTCTCATTTAGAGGCACAGTGGCAAACAATTCTCTATTATTGGCTTAGCGGCGTCAAATCTCCAAAGGAAATACATCAAAGAACTAACATTTCTCTTCGCACTGTCACATAT